GGACTTGCTCTCTGTAGGGGACCGTGGGTACTTGATCTCTGTAGATCATGGGTATTTGATCTCTGTACGAGATCATGGGAACGTGTTCTCTGTAGGAGACCGTGGGAACGTGTTCTCTGTAGGAGACCGTGGGACTTGCTCTCTGTAGGGGACCGTGGGTACTTGATCTCTGTAGATCATGGGTATTTGATCTCTGTACGAGATCATGGGAACGTGTTCTCTGTAGGAGACCGTAGGAACGTGTTCTCTGTAGGAGACCGTGGGACTTGCTCTCTGTAGGGGACCGTGGGTACTTGATCTCTGTAGATCATGGTTATTTGATCTCTGTACGAGATCATGGGAACGTGTTCTCTGTAGGAGACCGTGGGAACGTGTTCTCTGTAGGAGACCGTGGGACTTGCTCTCTGTAGGGGACCGTGGGTACTTGATCTCTGTAGATCATGGGTATTTGATCTCTGTACGAGATCATGGGAACGTGTTCTCTGTAGGAGACCGTGGGTACTTGATCTCTGTAGATCATGGGAACTTTCTCTGTAGGAGAACGTGGGAACGTGCTCTGTAGGAGGAGTTGCTCTCTGTAGGAGACAGTGGGTACTTGATCTCTGTAGATCATGGGAACTTTCTCTGTAGGAGAACGTGGGAACGTGCTCTGTAGGAGGAGTTGCTCTCTGTAGGGGACCGTGGGTACTTGATCTCTGTAGGAGACCGTGGGTACTTGATCTCTGTAGGAGACCGTGGGTACTTGATCTCTGTAGATCATGGGAACTTTCTCTGTAGGAGAACGTGGGAACGTGCTCTGTAGGAGGAGTTGCTCTCTGTAGGGGACCGTGGGTACTTGATCTCTGTAGGAGATCCTGGGAACTTGCTCTCTGTAGGAGACAGTGGGAACGTGTTCGCTGTAGGAGACCGTGGGACTTGCTCTCTGCAGGGGACCGTGGGTACTTGATCTCTGTAGATCATGGGTATTTGATCTCTGTACGAGATCATGGGAACGTGTTCTCTGTAGGAGACCGTGGGACTTGCTCTCTGTAGGAGACCGTGGGACTTGCTCTCTGTAGGGGACCGTGGGTACTTGATCTCTGTAGATCATGGGTATTTGATCTCTGTAAGAGATCATGGGAACGTGTTCTCTGTAGGAGACCGTGGGTACTTGATCTCTGTAGATCATGGGTATTTGATCTCTGTACGAGATCATGGGAACGTGTTCTCTGTAGGAGACCGTGGGAACGTGTTCTCTGTAGGAGACCGTGGGACTTGCTCTCTGTAGGGGACCGTGGGTACTTGATCTCTGTAGATCATGGGTATTTGATCTCTGTACGAGATCATGGGAACGTGTTCTCTGTAGGAGACCGTGGGTACTTGATCTCTGTAGATCATGGGAACTTTCTCTGTAGGAGAACGTGGGAACGTGCTCTGTAGGAGGAGTTGCTCTCTGTAGGAGACAGTGGGTACTTGATCTCTGTAGATCATGGGAACTTTCTCTGTAGGAGAACGTGGGAACGTGCTCTGTAGGAGGAGTTGCTCTCTGTAGGGGACCGTGGGTACTTGATCTCTGTAGGAGACCGTGGGTACTTGATCTCTGTAGGAGACCGTGGGTACTTGATCTCTGTAGATCATGGGAACTTTCTCT